TTTTTTTTTTTTTTTTTTTTTTTTTTTTAACAGAAATCTTAAACAAACCAATATGCAAGTGGAAGTGTGAATGCACTTTTATTCTGTAAAGCAGTTCTTTAAAAATAAGACTGATCCCACATTCACTGCATCTCAGTTAAAAACAAAACAAAAACTGAAGCCAAGCAGTCTACAACTGAGAGCAAAGTGTTGGCCCAGAATCAACCAAGATTTTTCCACATTGCACATCGCTGGTAGTCCTGAAGTTGCTGCACACTATATTGTCTTTTGTCACAACTACATAGTTTTTTTGTGTCTGCTGATTATACCCGCAGCGACACCTGTGTAAATCCACCAACTTTAAGAGGCTTGCACAGGTATAACTGATTTCGCCAGAGAGAAAACACACATTCTGATTAAATGAATACAATCAATTCTAACCTGGAAAGGTTAAAAACCCCAAGAACTCTTCCTACAAATTAGTATATATATTAACATTTAAAACTACTATAAATTCCTAATGAATACTACTCTGGTTCTGCACAGATTTCACGGTAAACCACTCTTCCCCTCTATTCCTGCTTCCTTCTATTTTTCCAGCACCCTGAAAAGAGACTAGTATTAAGAACGTTCTTCATTAACTTCACCTGGAACTGGTAAACTAAACCTTCCAGAGAGCCCACTCCTCCAGCTACCAATTTGTACTTCAGCTCTCATCAATAAAATTTCATTTACTGAAGCACCTTTGTTGTGAATTGTATCCCCAAAAGATTTCTTACATTATTTAGCGCAGACAAGAACAAATTAAAAAAAACAGAGAAAGCACTTGAGAGGTAGAGGTAAGAGAATAGAGAGTTAATAAGAATTGTTAAAGAGAAAACTTTAGGCCAATTTGTGCAAAATAGAATTAAGCAGATTTCAATTAAGAGTAGGAATGGAAGGCAACATAGTAAAAAATTGAGAGGCTTCTGCAAGTCTGCTGGAGTTTCAAAAGCAAAATAAGCAATTTTGAATTGGATTCTGGAATCAATGAGGTGGCTCTGGAGTTTTTTTAGGATGGGAATGACATAGCTGCTTGTCTCACACAGCATAGCCACCCTCCACATGCACTAAAGTCTGAACACTGCACTGAAGTTGGGACTTGAGCTTTTTAATTGGAAGAAGGAATCTGCCCTAGTCAAAGCAAGGCAAGATGAAAACATGAATGAAGATTTCAGCAAAATGGCATTCAGCCCATATTACAGACACTGAAGGCACATTTACATACAATGCAAACATGGGAAGAATAGTTCAGAATCAAGTAAGACATCAATTGTGTATTTTGTTGGGTGCCAGTCGAAGACACTGCTAGCAATCTTACTTAGTGGAAATCACTTTTTTAAACATTTAATTTAATAAAGTTAAACTGCAGCTCAATATAAGGGGAGATTGTGCACCAGGAGACATTAAAGGTGACAAAGCTGGGCATAGTTTAGTATAATTATAGTAAAAACAGATAAAGGCTAAAGTAAGATAACCCATGAAAAGATGAAGACTCACACACGCACTGAATTAAGATGACCAATGAGAAGGTAAAAAAAACATAACTGGAAGATTATGGGATCCAAGTGGGTGGTGATCATGGTACTGAGATGCAGCAGAGTTAAGCATCTGAAAAGCACTGTCTGGACACTGGTTTACTGTGAATTCAGGAACAAACCATCCTGATGTGCAGGAAGACTAGCAAGTATGACAGAAGACCATCTTATCTTGGCTTAGCAGGGAACTCTTTATTAAACTAAATCACAAAAAAGAAGCTTGTAAGTGGAAACTTGGACAAACAACTGGAGAGGAGTATAAGACTATTGCTCAAGCACGCAGGGATGAAGTCAGAAAGGCCAAAGTGCAACTGGAATTGCAGCTAGCAAGGGACACGAGGAGTAACAAGAATGGGTTCTACAAGTATGTTGGTAACAAGAGGAGGATCAGCGAAAGCGTGCATCCCTTACTGAATGGGGGAGGCAACCCAGTGACAGATGATGCAGAAAAGGCTGAAGTGCTCAATGCCTTTTTTGCCTGTCTTCACAGGCAAGAGCAGCTCCCAAACTACTGGGCAGCACAGTTTGGGGATGAGGTGAGCAGCCAACTGTGGCAAAAGAACAGCTTAGGTACTATTTAGAAAAGCTGGACACACACAATTCCATGGGGCTGGACACGATGCACCCAAGCGTGCTGAGCGAGTTGGCTGATGTGATTGCAAAGCTGCTGGCCATCATCTTTAAAAACTCATGGCAATCAGGAGAGGTCCCGGATAACTGGAAAAGGGCAAACATAGTATCCATATTTAAGAAAGGGAAAAAAGAGGATCCAGGGAACTACAGACCAATCCCCAGAAAAATCATGGAGCAGATCCCTCAAGGAATCCATTTCTGAACACTTGGATAAGAAGAAGGTGATTAGGAACAGTCAGCATGGATTCACCAAGAGCAAGTCATGCCTGACCAACATGACTGCCGTCTACAATGAGATGACTGGCTCTGTGGATGTGGGGAGACCAGTGGATGTGGTATACCTGGACTTAAGACAGGCTTTTGATACAGTCTCCCACAACATTCTTGCAAGCAAGCTAAAATCTGGATAGACTGAAAGCCAGATAGAAAACTAGCTGGTGCAATGGGCGCAAAGGGCTCAAATCAATGGCTCAATGTCTAGTTGGCAGCCGGTATCAAGTAGAGTGCCCCAGGAGTTGGTCCCAGGGCCAGTTTTTTTCAATATCTTCATCAACAGCCTGGAAGACAGCATAGAGTGTACCCTCAGCGAGTCTGCAGATGACACCAAGCTGGGGGGAGTAGTAGATGCACTGAAGGGTAGGGCTAGGAGGATTGGAGAACTGGCCAAAAGGAATCTCATGAGGTTCAACAAAGACAAGTGCAAAGTCCTGCACTTAGGATGGAACAATCCCATGCAATGGTATAGGCTGGGGGCTGACCAGCTGGGCAGCAGCTATACAGAAAAGGACCTGGGAGTTACAGTGGACAATAATCTAAACATGAGACAACAGTGTGCCCTTGTTGCCAAGAAGGCTAATGTCATACTGGGCTGCATTGGTAGGCATAATGCCAGCAGGGCAAGGGAAGTGATTATTCCCCTCTATTCCACACTGGTAAGGCTATATCTGCAGTACTGTGTCCAGTTTTGGGCCCCCCACTACAGAAAGGATGTTGACATATTAAGACAGAGTCCAGTGGAGGACAACAAAAATGGTGAAGGGGCTGGGGGACATGACTTATGAGGAGAGGCTGAGGGAACTGGGCTTACTTAATTTGGAGAAGAAAAGACTGAGAGGGGATTTAATGGCAGCCTTCAACTACCTAAAGAGGGGTTCTAAAGAGGATGGAGCTGGTCTGTTCTTAGTGGTGGCGGATGAGAGAACAAGGAACAACAGTCTCAAGTTGCAGCAAGGTTAAATATTAGGTTTAGGTTAGATACTAGGAAGAATTTTCTCACTAGAAAGGTAGTAAAACACTGGAACAGGTTACCCAGAGAGGTTGTAGACTCTCCATCCTTGGAGGTTTTTAAGACCTGGCTAGACATAGCCTTGGCTGGGATGATCTAGTTGGGGATGGTCCAGCAGGGGGTTGGACTAGATGACCTCCTGAGGTCCCTTCAAACCCTCATTTTCTATGATTCTGTTTCTATGACAGAGAAGGGCAGATCTATGACAGAAGGGAAAATAGAGAGGCTTGCTTAATTACTGTATGGAGAGGGATCCAAGAAAAAAAAAATTCCAAAATCCTTCATTAAGATCATGAAGAATGAAGAGGAACAAATGAGGAGAAAAAGTGTGGTTGTTAACTGCACATAGGAGCTGTGAACAGACAAAGACTCGAAACAGAATGGGATATTCCTTTCAGATGAAGGTGGTGAAGACTTTTCATCAAAAGAAAATAGGGAGGAAGCAAAGAAGAGCTTTCACAAGCAAACAAACCAAAAAAAAAAAAAAAAAAAAAAAAAAAAAAATCAGGTTAGGAAATACCAGAGAAAAATAAAACGCATTATAATGGAGAAATGGTATAATAGGAAACATCAAAAATAAGATGCACTGTAGAAGGGGAAGTTACACAGAACCCATAAAATATCATTAACTCTCCAAAATTAAACTCCAGACTACCTCCAGAGGGAAGAAACTTGAATCAGTGATCTCCCTGAAGATTAAAAACAAAACAAAAAACAGCTCTGGGAAAATTAGCAATTCTTTAGACTTCTTTTATAACCTATTAAAAGGAAGAAGAAAGTGATCCCACAGATGAAACAAAAATGAAATCAAAATTCTGTGGCTGCATTAAAAGGACATATCCCTAGAATTTAAAGAACCAAAGTACATCAAACTGGTTCCGAAACAACTTTATAATTTGAAAAAGTAATCTTTGTAAGTCAAATTCTCTTCAAGCTCAAAAGGTACTAACATTTCAGTAACTGCATACATCCAAGGATCTTTCTCGTTCCAGGAACCCAGAAAAATACATCAGATTCTTCAGTGTTCCCAGAACACAATCCTCTAGACAAAGTAATCCAGAACCATGTTTCTAAATCAACACTCTGCTACTGGACTATGAAGCTGACTACACATGCAGTTTTAAAAACTGAGGGTAGGGGCAGACATAACACATAAACCTGTTTAAGTGATCAGAAACTGGTTTAAACCTGTGAAGAACAGATGTGCAGTGCACATAAACCCGTTTCAAAATGGCCATGTTAACTGATTGAGCTCAAACCGATTTATGCAATGTCTGTCCCAGATCTCTTCCTGGTTTAAGTTAAACCAGAGTCCCCCCAGCATTCTGCCTTGCTCTCTGTGCTGGGCTCTCTGCTCTAGCGGAGCAGGCCTAGCCCTGCCCCTCTGCTCTCTAGCCTGAACCAGGGCAGGGATGTGACGAGACACCAGGCAGCATGTCCATTAAGGCAAAATGGGGAGGGAGGGGGTTAATTCTTCCCTCCTTCCTGTCGCCACCAGTCTGCTGGGATGCAGTGGACGGGTCAGCAGCCAGGGCTGGGAGACCCCAGCTGCAATCCCCTGGAGCAGAAGGGACAGAGGGAGGAATTAACCCCCTCCCTGCCCCCTTCACCTTAACAGCGCCATGCCCAGCCTGGCCCAATAGTGCGGCTGTCTTGGCTGGGGCTCAGCTGGGCCACCCTGCACAGAGCTGCCCTCCTCACCCTGTGGCAGCGGGGATCAGGCAAGGAAGAGGAGGAAGGGGAAGAGTCCCCCTCCAGCACCAGAGCCCCACTCCTGGGGTGGGGAGGGGGGAGGAGCAGGGGGAATAGTCTCCCTCTGGGGCTGGGCAGCTGTGCACTGAGCCCCACTTCCCATCCCTGTGGCAGAAGGGGGCAGGAGGAAGGGGAAGAGCCCCACCCCCCAGCACTGAACAAAGCCCCCCCACCCTGCAAGGGAGGGGAAAGAGTCCCCTTCTGGGGCCAAGCAGCCCTGACAGAGTCCCCCTCCTCACCCCTCGCCAGCGGGGGGATGGTGGTGGTGGAGAAGGAGGAGGAAGAGTTCCCCCTCCCCATCCATGGCTGTGGGGGGAAGGGAGGAGGGGGAAAGTCGTCCTCTGCATCCAAGCAGCACGCTGTGCCTGGATTGCTCCTGGCAGTAAAGGAGCTGCTGGGGTGGGCAGAGCTCTCCCCTCTTCCTCCTTCTGCCCCTGCCCCCCC